GATTCCTCTCTAGGTCCAGCCTTCTCAGCTTTCATTCAGCACCAAGAGATAAACCTTCCTTTTTTCCTTCTTTCCTTTCCTTCTTTTGAACCCAGGACCTTTGCATTCTACAAATTACATTCCCAGTCCTTTTCATTTTTTATTTTGAAACAAGGTCTTGCTAAGTTTTCCAGGCTGAGCTCAAACTTGTGACCTTCTGCCTTGGCCTCCCAATGAAGAGACATTTCTGAATGCCACTGAGATCTCCCTACCCCACCACCTTGCAAATTCAGCTTGCACAAACTGCAGCATGCCACACTCAGTCCCTTGTCTTACTCCTAATGCCACCTGCAGTTGAACCCACCACCCCCCTGACCACACCCTCCTCTCCCATATTTCCATACCTCTAGACATCTTGCAGCTCCTAGGACAGCCACCACCCTTGTGCTTCTGTGGCTTCCACTTTGTGTAACTTAGTTTCAAAACTCCAGGTGAACATCCTGCTCTGATTCTCCAGCCTGGATCAGTATCAGTGCCGTGCATGCTCTACAGGATCCCTGCAGCTCCACCTCCCTCTCTTCCTGGACTCCTCAAGCAATATCACAAAGAGATTCTACCAGATGGCCTAGGTTTGCATCCTGCTCTCTCATTTTAAAATGTTAAGTTCTGCCAGCCATTCATTTAATTTCTGTGCCTCGGCTTCCTCACCTGTTAAATGAGGAGCATCCTCTCACAAGTCGATGATGTGAATGTGCACTAAGTGATCAGCACAGCACCTGGCCTGTGGAGAGCTCAGAGAAGCAATGTTATGGCTTGTTTGTAGATGCCTCTGAAAAGCCTCATGTGGTTATAGGTGGAGCTTTTTGGAGGTGGCTGGCTCTAGAGTCTGTGACAGTGGGATTAAGGATGTGATGCTGGGATGGATTCACTGTTTGATGCTAGGATTAAGGGTGTCCCACCCTGGGTATGAGTACTACCTGCCCTAAGGGTGGGTAGCCTGGTTAGAATACGGAAAGAGGGCTGCTGTGGTTGCTGCTGCTTATTTGATACTTTGTTGCCTTTTGCCTTCCATGAACTGTTTCTCCTCTGCCATGACACTGCGCTGTGGAGCCAACCAATTATGAACTGAAACCTCTACAAACTGTGAGCCAAAATAAACCTTTCCTCCTTCAACTATGAGTGTCATGTATTTTGTCTCAGCAATGAGATAAGTAACTAAGACAGGAACCTATTGTCATTCCTACCATGAGTCACCTTTGCCCCCAGGGCAATGCCTGGTTCCTGATGGACACTCAAGGAATAAAGGACTGCTTTTCTGAACAAAGTATTTTGGAGTTCTTTTCTTTTTTTTTTTTATTGGTACCGGGGATCGAACTTGGAATCTTGCACTTGCCGGGCAGGCGCCAGAACCACTGAGCTAAATCGCCGGCCCTAATGAACAAAGTACTTTGAACAAGTACTTTTGCAGAAGCACACATTCTAAGAAAAAATGTAACTTTATTTTAATCCAAATCTATTCACCTGCACTGGTGAAATAGAGAAAACTGCCATTTAGAGACTGTTTCAAATCACTTGCATGCTAATTGCAGTCATCCATAACACGGCCCCTAGTCATGTCTCTGGTGTGATAGTCATAAACCATTATCATAAAGCACCTTACCCATTAATTTTAATTTCCTAAACAGCAAAAGCACCAGAACTAATGGTCTGTAGAATTTCAGGTCTAATGAGTTCTGAAACGCTAGCAGGGTTATCAGATGGCAGGACTTTCTCAAGTCATTCCTCCTCCAGCCTCTCACAACTAAGTTACTAAGACTTTCAAGACAGAGTAGTCTCTAAAGACATTGTCGGGGCTAGTGGGAGAACATGAAAGGGCTTTTGCAAAGACCTGGGCATACCAACCATGTTACCAGTGCATTACATGAGTTCTTAAAAGAATGACCATTGGTCAGAGAAGAGAGGAAGGAGGGAGTGAGGAAGGATGAGCATGACATCCCAAGGAGATTTCCTAGAGGGTGTGTGGTGAGGACAGGATAGAACTTGGAGGTGCCCCTGTCCAGGCCAGTGTACATGCACTGAAGTGTCCACCACTGTGTCAATCACCACTATATTTTTCCCATGGACTCTGGCCTGGAAATTGATTATTCCTCACTTTCCACCAGCTCTGGCAGACAGAGGAGACTGGGCAATGTTCCCCTCTCGGACCCCAGAGGTAGACAGAGACATGCAGGCAGCACCTGGACACTCTTAAGGCCACCTACCCCTCCCTGACTTGCTGGGGCCTTGAGCTGTGTCTCTCTGGTCACTTCTTTCTTTCCTCCTGAGAAGCCTGGAGGATCAGGGGGTACTGGCTTATAGTAATTATGTGTCCCCATGTTGGTGCGGCTCCTTTCCTCCATGGAAACGATATACTTGCCCAAATGTCTCTTCATCAGTCTCACAGCCCTCTGTGAGGGGGCTTCCAGGCTGACAAAGCTCTGTACTCTGGCACACGGGGGCAGGGCTGGGGCAGTGGTGATGTGGAGAACTCTCAGAACAAGACTCCAATGAGTCGATGGGACAGGTGAACTCACACATCAAGCAACCAGTGACCCAGGAGAACTGTGAGGCTGTAAACCCAACCCTGGAGGTTTCTAGGAAGCCTCTAGGGAATGCGCTCTGAGAGAAAGTGAGGAGAATGAAGAGAGCCACACTTGGGATGTGCAGGCAGAACCTCTGCAGGAGACACTAACTGCAGCTGATCCCTGCCACTGCCATTTTACATCACGGACACAAATGCGATCCATTCTTCAACTGTATTTTTGCCTTCAGGGAGTAAGATTTGTTCTTCATTCCAGGAAGCTCACTGTTGTCTGCTCTCTGATGATAAGAGATGAGCAGGCATCCAAAGAAGCCAGGGTAGGCCCAGTACTCAGTCTCACTCTCTGGCCATTCATTGTCTGGCTTTTTTCCCCTTGTCTCAGTTGCTTTCCTTGCTCTTTTTCTTTTAGACTCAGCCATTATCCCAATCTAAAAGCAGATTATTCAAATTGCATTTGCTAATGCTCCCTCAGTTAGAGAAAATAAGAAAGCTGCAACTATGGTTCTGCCTGAAATTATTAGCATTTAATTGGTGTTTCAAAAAGATTACAGCAAAGCAAAAGCTGAGTGCCTGCACCCGCCAGGTCTTTGTGGATTTAGTTCAGATCGTGCTCTATCACCCCACTCTGCATAGGATGAGTCTGAATGTCCTCGTGAACAAGATGGGTGAGCCATGCACATTCGTTTGATCACCCAGACACCTGTGCCTGGCCAAGCAGTGGCCGGCTAGCCCTCAGCTGACCAGCAGGCAGTGGGATGAGGAAAGACTGCCTGCGCCTGGACAGCAAAAGTCACTCCTACTGCAGCCATGGAGTCACTTAAAACCACCCGGGCTCCTCTCCGCCTGCTTCCTTTTTACCTGAAGCACAGCTTACCTAGCACATTCCTTACAAACAGTGTGAGGCTTCTCTTTTCCTACTTACATCTTGGCTCTAAAAGCTCTACCTTGTGTTTGCAGAGTAAGTTCTACTTTAAGATATATTTTATAGTTATTGAATGAATCCTTTCAACACCCAGATGAAACTGGCATTATTTTCCATTGTGTAGGAAAATGAGGTTCAAAAAGAAATATATTCACCATGTTGAAATATAAATAATGCCAGAGTCGAGAATTGAACCATCTGGGCACATTTCACAGCTGATGACAAGCTCCTACGCCCACAAGTGGACAGTCATGTATAAAAACTTCATAAATGCCTTGAAGACCATAGGCTACAACTTTACAATGATTTGAGGTAAGAAAGAAGAACAGAATGGGAAACCTGTGATGTGAAGTCAGAAACAGGGGGGAAGATTGATCAGAACCAAAGAGAGCTCAAACAAACACAATGTACATGCTTGTGGCTGAGGAAAGCTGAGGGGACAGTCAGCGGTGAAATACGGAAACCGAGGCAGGCTGCAGAAGTCAGAGGGAGACCTGGGGGAGAGGACACAGGAAGGATTCGGGGCACTGAAGAATCATTGCTCAGCTAGAGGGATGAGAGAAGACTCACAAGCACAGATGGCATGATGCCAACTGCTATTTGGGGAGTTTTTAGTATGATATGATAGTTTTCATTGTTTGTTACCTAAAGGGAGCAAAGAGAAAGCTAGTAGGAAGCAAAGACAATAAATAACAAGAAAATAAAAATTAACAAAATTGGCTCAGAAAAGATGGAAAATGAAATTCAGGGGAAAGGCCCTTACAATTTAAAACTATTGAACAACAGGATGAGGAGCTGGTAAAGTCAGTGTGGGCTACCGTGTTAAATGTAGGGTATGAGCGCAAGCACAGTGAGAAAGAAGCTCCGCCAGGGAACACTCATGAGCCAGGGTTCCAGATCCTTCCTTTCTCTTTTCAAACCTAGGCTTTGTTATCCTCATCTGACAGATACAGCCACGGAGGTACTCTCAAATACCCAGAGAATCTTATGTTTCTTGTGTGAAATACTAGCACCATCTACTTATATTTCCCTGAATTGCCACTGGGATTGCTTGCTGTCCTGTTCAAACTCATAGCAGATGAAATCGTGACTTGAGACAAACTCTGGGAATGAGAACACCCCAAGGGATCTTACCCTCAGATGCCAGGTCTCAACCCTTACCTCGAGGCAAAGTAAAAAAATTAAATAAGTAAGTCTGGTTGCTCATCTTTAATTTAATTCAGAGCATGCTAAGATCTAGGGAAGTCCTATAATGAGAGTCTAAGCAGAGATAAAGTTTAAGCGACGCTAATGACTGATTCATTTTAATTAGTGAATTTTTGGCAAGTTACATGGAATAGTTACATTCCATGAGGAATTTCCCCCACGTGGCAGCAGGAGTATAGCATACACATATGATTCAATTTCATTTCCTCTTACAAATTGTTTTATAAAGAAAATATTTTAAACTCTTGGAATATTTGATGAGAAATGCCCCTTCAAGATGTTAAAAATGAAGAAAACAACCATTTAACTTGCCTTGCTAAATAAGATGGATACCATGAAGAAATCCAGCAAGAAACTCTCTGAAAAGTCTTTGTAGTCAAAGTGGAAAAAGATGACAGTGAAGCTCAAGTTAATAAACTGGTGAACTGGGTTACAGAAAGAAGTCCGAAGCAGCTTCATGCCAGCAATGATCATCAGGAAAATGTCCCAGCTGTGGAAAGGAGAGAAGAGGACCACTCAATGACAGATGGAGAGTGCCAGGTGACTTATGAGAACTATAGTTTCCTGAGTATGATGCTGTGATACTCTTCACAGACGCAGAAGGCCAGATGGAGGCCCTGTTACTGTCTGAATCCTCCATGGGAGGAAAGGGGCTTAAGGGCACTTGAGTAACTGGCTAAGGTCTCACTAGGCTGAGCTTGGACCACTCAGTCCAGAGTGGCTCCCCCAGAGTGAGATCGTCTTTGCCAGTAGACATTCCATTTCCATCACAGGCTGTTTTTCTAACTCCTTGTGTTTTTCCGCAAGGACATAGAGCTCATTTGGGCTTGCTGAGTTAAAGACCTCAGCAATGAGGAAAATTTCATGGAAAGAAGCTTCTGCCCAGTTAGAAAACAGCACGTTGTCCCTGCTATAGTCTGCTCAAAGTATACCAATTCATGGTAAAGGAATTTGACTGAAACAATGGCACAGCAATGGCCAACATTCAGCTCTGAGCAGAGAAAGAAACCCAGTGTCTTAATAAAGCCAGTTTTCATTTGTACTATTAACTTTCAATCTTTTTCAGCACATTTGTCATCCTAGTGAACATAAGCTTGTCATGATCTTTCTCATTTTTTTCCCTTAAAATCATAGGACCTGGCATTTTTTCTTCCATAGCATAAGCCTTCAGTGGAGGAGTTCACTCAAGTAGAGCCAGGCAAAGAAATTCTCTCCCAGGACTTTGCTTTGAAGACTGAGCTCCTGGACTCATTCAGAGATTCAGATTATTAAAGAGCACGGGGAGTGCATGTAATGTATATGACTCCCCGGATGGGAGCCAATGATGAGCAAGCTCAAAACTGGAAGGCAGGTGATGAACACAGGGAAGCCCAGAGTAAAGAGTGGCCTCCTTTAGGCTGCATTCCTGAAGAACCCAGATTCCCCTGCAACCGTAACATGCTACGTGAGAACCCGAGGGCACAGTGGAAAAGTTCTCAAGAATGGCTGCCCTCAAAAGCAAAGTTTTCTTTTTCTAGCAGAGAACTGGGGCTGCACTTCTACTTTTCTAGGCCCAGGAGAGTCCTCAACCCTAAACCATTATGGGCCTTATTAATATCTTGTTCAGTTTGAGGACATTTAGGAAGTGCTTTCAGAACAGTAATGACTTATAGACAATTAATTGAATACTTCAAAAAGAGCCAGCAGAGAGAATTTTGAATGTTCCCAACACAAAGAAATGATGAATGTCAGAGGTTATGGATATGCCATTCCCCTGATCTAATCCTTATACACAATATATATACATGGGGTATATGCATATATGTACATGATATATATGTAAATGACACACACTGTACCCTATAAATATATACAATTATCATGTCTCAAAGAAAATATTTTTTAAAAGTGCTTTCAAAATCCTTGCACCTATCAGGTGCAAAATTGTCACTTTTATCATCAAAAAGCTCTAATGTTGGCAGTTCCATATGCCTCAACCTGATCTTTTATCTCCCTTCAGACCCAGGACTTAACTTGTTTCTGCTCAGCCCCAGGATGCACAAGGTGAGGTATGCCCAAGGACCAGTCTGACAGGCTTGGATTTGGCTTCTGAGGGAACTAGCCCTGATTCCGTGCAGATTTAAGGGGAGGGGGGAAGTTCTGTAACCTCAGCATTCAGCCCTTATGTTGTGCAGTGAGGCCAACCCTTGCTTCATAGCCTGACTTCCTCTGCCACTGGGCCACCCATGCCACCATGATAAGATGGTATGAAAATAGGACCTCAGTTCCAGGTGCCTCAGACAGCAATCCAGAAAACAAAAATCTCTTCTGGACAGCCAACACCCTCCTGAGGAACCCCAGTGACAGGGAAGCTCAAGACTGAGGACATTTTTGATTTTAGGTATAAGCTTTTCATGCTTCTGCCTTCCATTTTGACTGTGGATGAGTGCCCAGTTCCAGGAGAAGTCATGGGTCAAGCATGGCTGTGCCCACTGGTAATCCTGGCTGCTAGGAGAAGTCCACCATGCTCAGAAGTGGAGCCATCTCCTGGCCTGGGCCTTATCTCAGCTGGGTGACAGGTCTGCCATCACATCCTCTGCTTATCTATCTGGTGTGACTAAATTTTATCCCTAGGGTCTAAGGTTTTAAGTACCAAAGGGTATAGAATTCTTGTCCTGGTTTAACCAAAACCGGTCTGGACTTGAAGGAAGACAGAGCCCAATAAAGACAGAGAGGTCATGGGATCATTTCATTTAGGGTCTGCTTTCTGTGACTCTGCATTTAGTCAAAGTCCCACAGAGTATTAAAATGCCTTTCATCTTAGCTTGCTCAATCTTTGGCAAATATTAATTAATGTATCCTCATCATGCCCTGAACAAAAGAGCAGGTCTGAATTAATATGTGTGGGATTAGCATCAGGGTTGACCTGGATATGTAGTTTTCTAGCAACGTGACTAATGAGCAAGTCTGAGAAGGAATCTCCTTTACATCCTCCTACACTAATAATGGATTTAAGCATCGACTCTCACCTTTTGTCAGAATGGCAAATCCCCAAATTATCAAGTACGTTTCCATTTGTAAATTCAGAACTGATTTTAACATAGGAAACCAATGAATCCACTGTGCATTGTTAATCCTTTGAAAAAAAGGGGATCTTGACAGTATGAAGTCTCGTGCTCCAGTTTCTAAATTATGAAACTCCTCTTGATAAATGCAGAGAGCAGTGGCACTGATTAATCGCCCCCTCCCTCAAGCACAAAATGATAGAGTATTTGCTAAATGAAATGGCACAAGGCAGTTCATAATGCTCTAGGCGTGGTGGTGAGAACTCCAGGAATCCTGGATTCACACTGTGCTTCCTTCATCTCATTAGCCTCCCTGACTAAGCTTCTGAGGATGGTTTTCAAATCTACTGACATTTATTCACAACATCACTTCAAGCATATCTAACTTCCCTTGCACCCTAGTCACTCCACAGTTACTATCTACTCTGGTGGGTGTGAGTAAAAGACCACGAAGGACCACTTTTATGTGGTCAGTAGTCAGTAACAGTTGGTTTCTTCTGTAGCCTGTTGAGCAAAAATTCACTAGATTCTGAAAATGTTGTGATCCAAATCTTTAAAAGAATAAACCATTCTTCACTTACTGGGTACCAAGTCTCCGGTAATTGCTTATTGAAAATGCATCAATGGTAAGAGCATTCAGAATTATTGCTGGGTACAAGATATATTTTTCAAAACACTGAAGCCAAACATAGAGTCTTTCAAACCACATTAAATGGGCGACATCTGAAAGAAATACAAAAACCACTTAGAACAGCCAGTAACAAAGTATTTTTCCTTAAGTACAGATTTAATAACAAGCGATATTCCCTCTCCAATTCAAAATTGCTGACTGAGGACTCCAGAACTAGTCGTGGTATAGGATTTTCTCTCTAGGCAGCAGATCTCAGCTTTGCTTCTGCATAGTTCAAACCAATAATGTACAGTGACACGGGTCAGCATCCAAGCCTTTGGGTCGATTGACTTCTGCGGATTGGTTCCTGGCACCAATGTGACACTGTCTTAGAGAGAGTGTCAAGTCGTCACAGTGAGTAAGGGCAGAAAGGAGGCAGGACTGGAAAACAATCCCCTGGACTGCTTTTACACTTGAGACTGGTTTCTGGGCTTTTCTCTTTCTCTTTGTACTCTTTAAATCCACAATCAAATGCCCGGGCAGTATATAAATGAAGAGAAAGCTGATCGTTAAACCCATCACTCAGAACATACTACATTTTTCTGATCCTTCATGATAAAGGAGAATGGGACAGTGATGTCTGTTAAGAGTTAAAATTTTAAATCAGAACAATTTAGATTTGCCTTCAGTCTCTACCAACTCTTGGGTGTGTGACTAGAGCCCTTTGTCATTCTGAGTCCCTGTTTTCTGTGTCCCGCCCATCCCCTGAGACTGCTACTGGAAAAGAATCCTCCCTGTCTGCTGCCCTCCTGGTGGGTGATGGATATGTACTTGCAGCACCTCTTGACCCTCTCAATAGCTTTTCTCCCTGGTCAGAGCACAAACTTCTTGGGCCACATTAGGAGCAGTATTATGACTTCCATCTAAAATGTGCCCCACTCAGTTTTACTTTGGAGGTGGGGCCTGGTTGGAGATGGGTCACTGGAGGCATAACCTGGAAGGGTGTATTCTTGTCTTTGGCTCCTCCTTCCTCTCTCTATTTCTTAGCTGCTATAGAGTGAGAATCTTTCTTCCACCATGGCCTTGGAGCATGTTTCTGTTTCTGCCTTGGAGCTGACTGTCCATGGAGTGATCTCTTTAAAAACCATAAGCCAAAATAAATTTCTCCTCCTTTAAGTTGTGGTATTTGTCCCAGAGATGGCAACCCTTAGAGATGGACTAAATGTATTTTACATCATGAGATGGACTTGAGTTTTTTGGAGGGGCCAGGGCCAGATGTTAGGGTTTAGATCTAAATATCGCCCAAAGTCTTATATTTGCAGGTGGGGCCTGGTTGGAGGTGGGTCATTGGATGCATGAGCTGGAAGGGTGTATTCTTGTGCCCACATCATCCCTTTTCTCTCTGTTTTCTAGCTGCCATGGGCTGAGCACCTTTCCTTTGCCATGCCCTCTGCCGTACCATTTCTTCCTTGGAACCAACCAACCATGGACTGAATCCTCTAAAAAAAATTAGCCAAAATAAATCTCTCCTCCTTTAAGTTGTTCGTGTCAGGTATTCTGTCCCAGTGATGAGAAATCTAATACAGGTGGACAAAGCTTCCTTATAGCCTCAGGGGTCCAGAGCCAGGGCTTGAGATCCCTTATGCTTCTGTCTCAAAGAGAGAAGTACAGCAAAGACAGGCTCAGGGTTCCCAGGGAGCCCACCCCTTCTGTCATATGCTTTCAATCTGCAGTAACCTGGACACTGTGACAGGTTGGATCCACCAGCAGACAGTGGCAAAGGAGTCATTCTGCGGGGCTTCACCCTCTCCACCCCAGGCTTGAGTCTACATCTGCAAGGGAGGATGGAAGCTCCATCACACATCTGAATCACATTTTTCGACAGTTTATGTCAAAAAAAAATTGCATCACAGTATTCAGGCATGGGGGGAGAACTATATCACTTTTATGTTATTTTACATAGTTTTTGTCTGGGTTGCAAAAAAAAACAACTCATGACAGAGAAGCACTGTCACACTCATGTCACATGCTGTCCCCTCCAGGTCACTCACCCAGGACTTCAGGACAAATGACCTATTTTCCACTGACTCCCCTGGGACTTTATGTAAGAGGCCTCAGGAAGAAACACCAACACACACACAGGAACACATACACCCCAGACTGAAACTAATATTTTACTTTCTTCTTACATGGCTTATCTTCAGTATAAGAGTGTATTATCTTTGTAACTCAAAAACACAAAAAAAATACTTTTACTTGATTAAAAACATGAAGTGAAGTTTGCCATTTAGAAATCTTATTTGAAAAGAATTCATGGGAGTAAGACAGCAATGGAGAGACTGGGCCGAGTGAAAGGCTTTCATGACAGGGGAACAAAACACAATGAGAACAAATACCTGACAAGGGGCCTCATAAACAGAAGAGAGATGCAATGAGGAATGGTAAAGATTAAAAGAAATCATAATGACCAATGAGATAGAGGAAGAGTCAGGAGAGTTGGAAGAGAATTAAATTCAAAGAGTAGGGATGATGGGTAGGAATTCAACTTTGGGCTTTCTTAACAGGCAAGGTGTAATGCTTCCTAGGGTAGATTTGAAAATGTGTTATTCCGCAATGAATGATCTTTTATACATAATAAAGTCAAGGTATATTATGCAATTCACAACTAGATGAAAGGACTTTAATCTTTTGTGAAAGTATATGAAAATTAAGAAAAAAAGTCTTCAAGACCCCTCCTCCATTTCCTCCAAGCAAATGATTCTAACTACTGCTTTCTAGAGAAAATGGAATCTTGAAGGCACTGATGTCCTCACCTTCCCACCCCTTCAACAACAAATACATCTGCAGTCATCTCCACACTCTCTCCTCCTGAGGCCACGGCCCACTGAGGTCCTAGACCCCCAGCTCCCCGCCATCTGGGTTGTACAGGCTCCCCCTGGCTACACTCCAGCTCTTTCCCATGTGCAGCACTTGTCTCTCCCCTGCATCTCCTCTATCCTTTTTTTGTACAGCCAAGCTGTTGAGAGGCTTCTCAATACCTGATGATGATGACCTCACTTCCATGTCTTCTAGTTACGGGGGAAACTTCTGCCCCTGGGCTTTTGCAGCTACACCTGCTCAGAACCTCACATGGCCAGGTCCCAGTGATTTCCTGACTGCCACATAACTGACACATCTCAGTCTATCTTATTGGACCTCTCTGAGGTGTAAAATCACAGCCACCCCCCAACACACACTCTGAGCTTCTCCATCCCACCCTTTCCAGCTTGTGCTCAAAATTTTCCCATTACTTTCCCCTCATTTCATTTGCAGACTCCTCTTCCCCTAGCCCTGTCCATTGGCTTTCCTTCACCTTGTATTATTGATTTCATTTCCCAGAGCAATGTCCTTAACACTCACAGCATTAATTATTACTTCCATGCTGGTAACACTCTAATCTGTCATTCTATCTCCCTCTCCCTCTCATCTCTCTCTGCTCTCCTGGACTCCAGATCTAAATACTTAACTGAATAGCTTCATCTGATGTCCCAAAGAAAATTTCAAATTCAGCATGCTGAAAAGAGATCCATCAAGCACCATAAGCCTGCTCTTTTCTATAGGTTCTCAATCCTGGATAATGACTCTTGCATTAACTTAGCCATGCAGGCAACACACATTGGAGTCCTCCAATGTCAACTGTTCTTGTTCATAGCTTCAGATTGGAACCACCTGGGGAAAGGCTGAAACCCATTATCCTAGAGTAGCGAGCTTCATCCTTCCATGTGCAAATAAATTACTTGTTAAAAGGCAGAATCTGGTCCAGTAGGCCTGGAATGGAGCCAGACATTCTCCATTTCTAATAAGCTTCTACGTGATACTGATGCTGCTGGATCTCAGGCAGCACACTGAGAAACAGAACAGAAGTACCAGTATCTTCTGGGATGTGTGAAACATGCAGGTTCTCAGACCCAGGACCTAGGGTACCAGAATTTCTGTGGGTTTGGCCTGGCAAGAAAATCTGTGCTTTAACAGGCCCTGAAACAATTCTGAGACATCCTCATGTTTGAGAAACACTGTTCTGGACGGTTTTCTTCCATGCCTCCAGGACTACGTGGTGTTGATTCCATGTACTTATCTCTTGCATATTATCTTTTCCTTTCAATCTGTAATATTTGGGCCTTTAATCTCTTTTTTCTAAGAAATTATAGCTATATAAAAACCAGAAGCAAAAAAATATATATAGCTACTGGACAGGATCCCATCCTTCTTTCCTACGTAAGAACCTTTCTCTTGCAATTACCCCACACTGTCCCTCATTCCTTGATTATCTCTCTATACGGAATCATTTTCATCAGCATATAATCATGCTATAATATCTTTGAAAAATCTGCTCTTTTTGGGGGGGGGGAACCAGGAATCAAACTCAGGACCTTGCACTTGCCAGGCAGGTGCAGCGCCACTGAGCTAAATCTCTGGCCCAAATCTGCTCTTTCTTAAACCTTTTTTGCAAATATTGTTTTTCTTTTCAACTAATTTTCCATTTCTTTGTGTCCATTTGTAACAATTTTGCAAAAAACATTTTGGCTATACTCCCTTTCTCTAAAACTTTATATCTATTTCTCTTCTGAGTCTACTCAGATTCTCATAGAAAGTACTCCATCAAACTCCTTTTTTTGAGGTCACCATGACTTTTACATTGCTATATCCAGTGGTCAATCATGATTCTTATCTTGCTCAACCACCCAGCAGAGTTTGACCCAGCTAATTGCTCCCATCTTGTAACTCCCTACGTGATCTTGTGCAGTTCCGTGACTTTAAGTATCATCAGTGTGCTGATGGCTACTAAAAATATGTCCATGTATGACCTCTTTCTGGAATTAAATCAGTATTCCAACATCTCCTGCACACCTCTGATCAGCATCTTGTACAGAAGCTTTCATCACACTCTCTCACTAAACCTTTTCCCATATGCTTAGTCTGCAGTCATTACTGAACACATACAATGTGCCAACACTTTTATAGGCATGTAGGCTAAAAACAGTGTGCAATACAAAATCTCTGCCATTGTAGGACTTACAATGTAGCATAGACAATAAACAACAGAATAAATAAGTAAAAGTGCATAGCACAGTAA